CGGGCAGATGGGGTGGGGGAGGGGGCTGCCAGGACTAGCTGGGGTACTGGGGGGTCCGCACCCCCAGCATCTGCATCAGCTCCTCCCCAAAGCCATCCCAACAGACGCACCTTCAAATAAGAGCCGGGTATCTGAGGCTCAAGGGCGGGCTTAGGGAGCTCCCCAGCTCCAATCATATTGCCGCCTGCGCTCCTCCCTCAGAGAAAGGTTGGGACGGCCATTGGTGGCCATACTGGGAAGCTCATTTGTCCCTCACACCAGAACAAGTGCAGTTCTCCATTATACACAAAAAGACAGCAACCAGAAAGAGAGAAAGAGATTTACCCAAGACCCCACGCCTGGTCAGCAGCGGGCAGGGCTGCATGACCCAAGGCCAGCCTCTCATGTCCTGACCTGGGTAGGAGTGGGCCACCATGCCACATGCACGTTTCCGGAGTGGTTAGCAGCAGGGAACGGCCGCCATTCCTGCCAGCCCTGAAGAACCATCGGTGGGAGCTGCTTCCCGAGGCCAGGGTTGGAGACTCTCTTCCTAGACCTCCCCTTGGAGGCTGATTCTCAGGACCTTAAGGAAGGGGACTCCCCAACCCTGGGCTCAGTGGCCCTTCAATGTGGCCAGGATGCCACAGACCCCGGCAACCTGCCTTGTGTCTGCGCTCCCAGCCTCAGAGGGCTATTCCCTGGGGGGCAGACACGGGGTTCCCTGCCACTTCCTCGTGCTGGGTTCTCAGGGCCTCTCCCTGCCCCCACACACCTGCCCTCTGCAGGGCGGGTCTGAACTCAAGGAAGGAGCTCAAGGCTGGCACCACTTCCCTCCCCAGCTTCCATGCATTAGTCTGTAAAGGAGGGTAATAACTCTCTCCTAGCGTGGCCCTTGTGAAGAGAATAGATCTAAAGTCACTTCAAGATACCAAGAGGCCCCATACACTTGCAAGCTGTTATGAGCGTAACTGCTCCCCGCAGAGCTGGGTAAGAGAGCTAGTGACGTCCCTCAGTACCAAAGGGGCCTGCAGGATGAGTGAGAGGCTGCAGGGGGTAGCTGGGCCCTCCTGTACCTGGGGAGTAGTTGACCGTGGAGGAGGCATTTGAATGAAGGTATCCTGGGGAGAAGGAAAGGAAAGAGAGTGGCCTGACTGCCCGGACAGGGTGCAACTGAGGCTCTCAGGAGGTCTCCTCCTGTCAAGACTCACCCATCCCTGGCCGGGGGCGGTGGCTCACACCTGTAATCCCAGAACTTTGGGAGGCTGAGGCAGGCGGATCATGAGGTCAGGAGATCGAGACCATCCTGGCCAACATGGTGAAACCCCGTCTCTACTAAAAATACACACACACACAAAAATTAGCCAGGCGTGGTGGCGCACACCTGTAGTCCCAGCTACTCAGGAGGCTGAGGCAAGAGAATGGTGTGAACCCGGGAGGCGGAGCTTGCAGTGAGCTGAGATCCGGCCACTGTGCTCCAGCCTGGGCGACAGAGCGAGACTCCGTCTTAAAAAAAAAAAAAAAAAAGAAAATAGATCTGCTGAGACAACATGGTGCCATGCCCCGGAGCTGCTTCTGGCTGTCAGGGCTGGAGGCCTGGCTGCTTGCTGAGGCTGGAATAAGCTCAAAAAGAGACTGAGTCTTTACAGACTTCCTTCCATTGGAGCTGCAAAGGAATGAGCAGGGGGCCCAACCCTCCTCCTTTATTTTTATTTATTTATTTATTTTGGAGACATGGTTTCACTCTGTCACCTAGGCAGGAGTAACCTCCACCTCCCAGGTTCAAGTGATTCTCCTTTCTCAGTCTCCCAAGTAACTGGGACTTCAGATGTGTGTCACCATTCCAGGCTAAGTTTTGTATTTTTAGTAGAGACAGGGTTTTACCGTGTTGACCAGGCTGGTCTTGAATTCCTGGGCTCAAGTGATCCGCCCACCTTGGCCTCCGGAGTAGCTGGAACTACAGGCTTGCACCACCACATTCAGCTAATTTTTAAGTTTATTTGTAGAGATGAGGTCTCACTATGTTGCCCAGGCTGATCTTGAACTCCTGGGCTCAAGTGATCCTCCCACCTTGGCCTCCCAAAGTGCTGGGATTACAGGTATGAGCCACCGCACCCGGACCCAACTCCCTTTTAAAGACAAGGAAATTGAGGCTTGCAAGACAGATGTGACAAAAACTAATAAAGGACCAGAAAGAATCACGTGTGAAAGGCGAGAAGTGCCGAATGCCTGTCCCAGCCCTGCCCTGAGCAGCCCTGTGCAACCCTGGCCTCAGCCCTGGAACTCAGTGTCCACTCAGCTATACTGTATGGGGATGGACAGATGGCTGGGAATGGACCTTTCTGAGAACTTACCAGAGAGCTTAAGGGACTTGCCTGAGGTCACACAGAGAGTGAGACAGGGCCCAGAGGCCTCACCAGGGGTGTCCACGAGGGGTAGCGGAGGAGAGGCCCATCTTCCCACTCAGGAGCCCTTGCCTATCTCCGGTTCCCTAATGCTGTCTGGGGTGCCTGTCCCTCCTCTGGTCTCTGGTGCCCCCGTGTGGCCTCAGTGAGCAGGCCCCTTCCTACCTCCTGTGGGCTCCACCCCTGCCCCAACTCCTTAAGGAGGGCCCAGAATCTCTGAGGTGGGAGGGATCTGAACTCCTGCCCCCTCTCCCTTCCAGGAACCCAGAGGCAATGAAGGGGATCCCCAGAGTTTGGTTTGAATCCTGGCTCCCCATGCCAGCCTGGCTGATTTAGGCAACACACCCAGACTCTGTTTCTCCAAACATTTCTCAGCCCATGGGCCCTGCATAGCTACAGGGCGGGCTTCTGGGGAGATCACATGGGAGGCAGGGCGAGTCTGAGACCAGCTTTGGGCAACATAGAGACCCTAGCTCTAAAAAAAAATTAAAAATTAACCAGGCATGGTGGTGCAGGCCTGCAGTCCCAGCCACTTGGGGAGGCTGAGGTGGGAGGATCACTTGAGCCCAGTATGTTGAGGCTGCAGTGAGCTGAGACTGCACCACTGCACTCCAGCCTGGGTGACAGAGCAAGACCCTGTCTCAAAAGAAGGCTAGGCGTAGTGGCTCATGCCTGTAATCCCAGCACTTTGGGAGGCCGAAGTGGGCGGATCCCCTGAGGTCAGACCAGTTTGGCCAACATGGCAACATAGTGCAACCCTGTCTCTTTAAAATAAATAAATAAATAATCACATGAGAGACCCTTTGTGGGGAAAAACACCCTGTTTGCTACAAACATTCATGGAACACCTCCTCCCTCAACCTGATCCTGCCCCCATCTCAGCGAGGTCTCAGTACAAGAGGAGAGGCAAACCCCTAAACAGGTCTTTTAATGAAATAACGCGTTGGCAAGTGACTTGAGCCTGTAATCCCAACGCTTTGGGAGGCTGAGGCAGGCGGATCGCTTGAGTCCAGGAATTCAAGACCAGCCTGGTCAACATGGTAAAACTCCATCTCTACTAAAAATACAAAAATTAGCTGGGTGTGGTGGCACATGCCTGTAATCCCAGCTATTTGGGAGGCTGAGGCAGGAGACTTGCTTGAACCTGGGAGGCAGATGTTGCAGTGAGCTGAGATCATGCCACTGCACTCTGGCCTGGGTGACAGAGTGAGACTCCATCTCAAAAAACAAAACATTAGCCTGGCCTGGTGGTGTAAGCCTATAGTCTCAGCTACTCGGATGCTGAGGTGGGAGGATCACTTGAACCCACCAGGTTGAAGCTGTGGTGAGCCGCGATTGCACCACTGCACTCCAGCCTAGGGGACAGAGTGAGACCCTGTCTCAAAAAAGAGAAAGAAAGTGTTGTCTAGGCCGGTGTAGTTGCCCATGTCTGTAATCCCAGAACTCTGGGAGGCCAAGATGAGAGGATTGCTTGAGCTCAGGAATTCGAGACCAGCCTGGTCAACATATCAAAAACCCGTGTCTCCAAAAAGTAAAATAAAAAATTAGCTGGGTGTGGTGGCATATGCCTGTAATCCCAGTTACTCAGAAGGCTGAGGCAGGAGCCTAAGAGGTCAAGGCTGCAGTGAGTTATGATTGCACCACTGCACTCCAGCCTGGTGACAGAGAGACACTGATTCAAAAAAAAAAAAAAAAAAGTGTTGTCTGAAGCCACTGATATGTCCTACCCTTTGATCTCTCCTCATGGCGCCTGGTCCATCCCAGCTGGACACAGCTGGACAGAAATCAGAAATACCACCAGACAGAGCCAACCCCTCCCCTCCCCAACTTCCTCCAGCCCATCTCAGACCTCTCCTTGCCCTTCACGTTCCAGGTCGGACCTCAGGCCCTGCTCCAACTGAAGCTTAAAACGCTTGTGGTATTGGTACCAGCCCAGCTCCACCTCCACCCTAGGGTTTAACTTGGGAGCCACCTTGTCCTCAGTCCCTCAATTCCCCTTCCTCCTTCCCAAGCCTCAGTGTGTCCATCTGCCAAATGGGCGTGACCATCCCTACCCCACCTTCCTGTCTCCCACGTCAATTCTAATGATACAATCAAAGTAAGGCTCAGAAACATTTTTTTTTTGAGGGGGGGGCGATGGGTGCCAAGCGCGGGCAAACCCTAGAGAGAGCGAACTACAATTCCCATCCGGCTCCGGGGCCGCAGGCGTCCCTAGCCCCCTCTCCCTCAGCCAAGGGCAAGGCGGCTGCGGCCCAGGGGGCGAGAGAAGTTGCAGCGCTCCGCGCCTCGTGGGTTAGGGCCCAGCGAGGGCCCAGGTAGGGCTGGGTTTGGGGCCGCGCGGGTACCTGGGAGGTCTTTCCGACTCCGCGGAACCCCAACCGCGCCCCTCGCAGAAGTCAGTTGCTCTCCGCGGCCCGCCCCCGCACTTCCTGGCCGGGAGTTGGGCCAGCCCCGCGCGCCTCCGCCCCTACCTTCACCTCCAGCCGCGGCTCCCATTGGCCGGCGCGCACCTGCCCGTCCGTCTGGGGGCGGGGCGCGGCGCCCAGGTGAGGGCGCGCTGGCGGCGGCGGAGGAAGGTGACAGCGGGGAGGGCGGGAGAGTCGGGGGGAGGACGCGCGGCCAGAGCCTCTGACGGTTGGCGGACGGACGGCCCGACGGGTGGGCATGCGGGCGGCCAGACTCTAGCCGAGGATCAAGGCTCCGGCCGCAGCCATGGAGGCGCGGCTGCGCGCGCTGGAGCGGCTGGCGCCGGGCGAGGCCGGCGGCGGCCCGGGGCTCGACGGCCTTCTAGATCTGCTGCTGGCGCTGCACCACGAGCTCAGCAGCGGCCCCCTACGGCGGGAGCGCAGCGTGGCGCAGTTCCTGAGCTGGGGTGAGTGGCGGGGCGGCACGGAGCGAGGGCGGGCCTAGGGATATCGCGCCGAGACCCCCGCGCCCGCAGACTCTCCCGCAGGAATCCGCACCCCCACGGGCTTCCCTCGCAGACTCCCTGCAGTGGCCCTGACGCTTACCACCGGACCCCCGCGGCCCGCACACTCGCCTGCACACCTCACCCTCACTCCAGTTGTCACACACGCTCCTTCCCACTCACAGACCCCGACACATGCACGCACACACGAACTTGTGCCCAGGTGTTGACCGCAGACGCATGTACCCAGTACACCGCCTAGAGTCCTGTACAGAATTCCTTGCTCGCAGGCCACACCTGACGCAGGACACACACAGACCCTCATGCGTGTCACCCACTGACACACTGGCTGTCTGTTTCTCATTCCTCTCGGATGCATTGAGACACACAGCTCACGGAGAGACCCAGAGAGCGCTGCAGACCACCCCGACCGCACTGGCACTGCAGAACACACAGATCTGTAGGTATCGCACACTTACGGACCTTCCCCGCAACCAACACACACCCCCCCAGCTCCCTGCGTACAAGACCACTGCAGCGTGGACTCAGGCTGCTGGCCAAGCTCCCTGGGGGCTGTGGCCCCAGGGCCGGGCAGGGGGGCCTGGCTGGAGATGGGTCTGTACCTTTCCTGGTACACTCATCTGAGTCATTGGGAGTGGCTGGCCCGGGGTGACCCTGAACCCACTGTGGGCACTGGAGCCAGCTGGAGGGTTCCCTGGTCACACCCTGCCGGGCCATGGGGAAAAGGCATGGGGCCTGGCCAGGGCGGGGTGAGGCAGGTGTTTGCCCAGTGGGCAACTAGCGTTCCTGGCGCTCCTGAGCTCTGGGCAGGCACAAGGCCTGGGGAAGAGGGGATGCTGCCACCCAGATGTGCCAGGGAGTTGTCCCCTAGCCCCAACCCTTCCATCCAGAGCAAGGCAGTCAGAAGGCCCCTGCCTCTGTGCCTGTCTCCCTGGGATGCCTTCATGCTATGCGTGTCTGCCTGTGTTGTTGTCACCCCCCATGACACCCACACACGTGTGTGTGTTTGCACACACATGTGTGCTCCTCCCTGACTGCCTCCAGCACCTCTGCCTGGGACCCCGGCATGGGGGCCGTCTGTTGACAATCTCCCGAGGTAACTCAAAGGGCCGTGACTCATTCCTCTCCTGCTTGTCTCTACTTGTCCCCGCTCCTGCCCGGAGCCCCCTTGCCCTGTGGGAGGCCAGAGGATTAGGCAGCCTGTCCAGGGGCCTGGATCCTCCTGCCTGTGGGCCTAGGCTTTAGCGCTTGTCTGGCGGGTGGGTCCCTATGGTGCTGGCTTCAACTCCCACAGGGAGGCCCGGGGCTGCTCCTCCCCAGCTCCACACACAGACCTGGGAAAGAGACAATGCACTTCTGTAATGAGGTTTCCACCCCGCCCCCGCTGCGGGCTTCTGCCTGATAAACCTGTGGAGCAGCTCTCTGTCCCACCCACAGACCCGCCCAGCTGGCAGGGAGTTTACCTCCTGGCAGGGGGAAACTGAGGCAGGGCGCCAGACCACAGCTGCCCCCCATCCTGACTGATCACTCCTGCCTCCCTATAGACCCAATTCCTTCCCAAAGCCTGTGGCTCATCCAGGTCTGGAAAGGGTCTGGGAGTGGCTGGAGTTGCCCCTCCTGGAGGTATCTGGGATGTGAGGAAAGAGGACGTTCTTGACCAGACAAAAGCCTCGTCCAGACAGGGAGGCAGGACTCGGAGTGAGAGAGCCAATCAGGCCTGGAGGCATCCTGAGCACTCACGCCTTCAGGGGCTAGTGCTGGCACCAGGGAACGGCATCTTGGTCCTGTTTGTGAATCTCGTGGGCACCTTGGCAGACTGGCATCCATGCCTCCAGACTGAGGGGCCCCACGTGGGAAGCAAAGAGCCTGTCCTCCCTGCCCTAGGGACTGCAGGCCTCACCCCCAGCCAGGTACCTCTGTGCCTACAGGGTCCCCAGACCCAGGCCCACAGCTTCTGAATGGGAGAGAAGCCTCTCTCAGGATGAGGAATGTCACCCGTCCAGTTTCCCAAGACAGGCCCCGGCCTGAATCTGTGAGGGGGCCAAGAACTGCGAGCTGGGGGTAGGAATGGTGTCCCCATGGTCCCCAGGGTGACCTGGCCAAGCAGAGTCAGACTGCAGACTGGACAGGACTACAAGTCCCATCAGCCCCTGGGATGGAGGCTGCCTAGAGTCTGGGGCCAGGGGTCCAGGGAGGTCCAGGAACCATGCAGTCAGCTGAGCCCGGCCTCTGACCTTCCGCACTTCCTGATCGTTCCTGATCGTGGCCGAAGGAGCACCAGCTCCTGCCAACCTCTTGGCCTGAGGCTGTCCCTGGGGAGGTCATCCCTGCCTGGGCTCACAGGAGTGGCAGCTCCTGGCTTGCCCAAGGTGAGATGAGGAATGGAGCCCTCCCTGCATGCACTCTGAGTCCCGCCCTGTGTCCCCTCAGCCAGCCCCTTCGTATCAAAGGTGAAAGAACTGCGTCTGCAGAGAGATGACTTTGAAATCTTGAAGGTGATCGGCCGAGGAGCCTTTGGGGAGGTGAGCAAAGGGCCCGGGATAGGTGGGGAGGAGGTGTTCACACTGGGCTGGGCTCACCTCGGTCCTGCCTGTGGTCTTAGGTCGCCGTGGTGAGGCAGAGGGACACTGGGCAGATTTTTGCCATGAAAATGCTGCACAAGTGGGAGATGCTGAAGAGGGCTGAGGTCAGTGTGGAGTCTGGGGGGCCCTTGGGCACCCTACAAATGGGTGTGGGGGAGGCGTATGCTGCCATGGGGGTGGGCAAGGCTGCAGACCGGGCAAAGGGTGCTACCCTCAGCAGCCACTGATTTGTTACCTTTCTCACAATAAATCCTTTATTTAATTTTTTAATTTTTTTTTTTCTTGAGACGGAGTCTTGCTGTATCCACTAGGCTGGAGTGCAGTGGCTCACTGCAACCTTAGCCTCCCAGTTAAAGGAATTCTCCTGCCTCAGCCTCCCGAGTAGCTGGGACTACAGGCATCTGCCACCACACCCGGCTAATTTTTGTGTTTTTAGTAGAGATGAGGTTTTGCTATGTTGGACAGGCTGGTCTCGAACTGCTGACCTCCGGTGATCCTTCTGCCTCGGCCTTCCAAAGTGCTGGGATTACAGGCGTGAACCACCATGCCCAGCCTACAATAAACTCTTTTTTTTAAGACGGAGTCTCACTCTGTCACCCGGGCTGGAATGCAGTGGCGTGATCTCGGCTCACTGCAACCTCCACCTCCTGGGTTCAAGGGATTCTCATGCCTCAGCCTCCCAAGTAGCAGGGATTACAGGCGTGTGCCACGACACCCAGCTAAGTTTTTTGTATTTTTAGTAGAGATGGTGTTTCACCATGTTGGCCAGGCTGGTCTCCAACTCTTGATCTCAAGTGATCTGCCTGCCTTGACCTCCCAAAGTGCTGGGATTACAGGCCTAATAAACCCTTTTGAAAGCAACCAGTCATTCCCATTTTCCATATGGGCATGCTGAGGCCCAGAGCCATAGAGCGTGGGCTTGGGCTCAGTCGCAGCCAGACAGGGGACAGTAGAGCTATGACCTCCATCCAAGCTCCCAGACTCACAGAGTCCTTCATCCCCTGAGCTGGGAAGGGGGGCATCTTGGGTTCTGATCCCACCCCACCCCTTACTTCCCCAAACCTGCTGCAGACAGCATGTTTCCGGGAGGAGCGGGATGTGCTCGTGAAAGGGGACAGCCGTTGGGTGACCACTCTGCACTATGCCTTCCAAGACGAGGAATACCTGGTGAGGATACTTGGCGGGGCTAAAGAGGAGCATCCTAGGGACACAGGAGAGGGTCCTTGGGGCCAGGGGCACTGGGCCCAAAGACCCCTCTTGGGACCAAGAGACTCCCACTTCCCACCATCTCCTGGGCTTGCTGCCTCCTGCCTGAGCCCTGGCTGGGAACTGGCCAGCCCAGAGCTGCTGGGAGATGCAGCCCTGCCTTCCCAGAGCCCTGTGGGACAGCAGTGAAGTGGCCGGGTGCGCCCTTTCCCCAGGTTTGTTTCTTGTCCCCCACCTCCAGTACCTTGTGATGGACTACTATGCCGGCGGGGACCTCCTGACGCTGCTGAGCCGCTTTGAGGACCGTCTCCCGCCTGAGCTGGCCCAGTTCTACCTGGCTGAGATGGTGCTGGCCATCCACTCACTGCACCAGCTGGGTTATATCCACAGGTGAGGCTCCAACGGCACTGCCCTGCCCAACCTCTGCCAGCTGTGCTGGGGAGAGCTGATGTTGGCTGAGCACTCACCACATGCCAGGTGCTTTGCTGGGTGCCTCATCCATGTGCTTTCTTGGAATCAGAGCCCTCTGTGGCAGGGGCTGCTACTGTCCCCGGCCTACAGTTGAGGGGGTCAGAGCTTAGCACAGGGAAACACCTGTCTCAAGGTGACTCGGCTCGCGGGTGGCCAGGCTGTGGTCTGCACTGGGGAAGTCTGACTCCTGCATCCCCTACAGCACACTCTGCCACCTCCAAGGGTTGTCCCCACACATCCTTTCTACAATCTAGCCGTCTTCCTCCTCCTGGCCTGTGGGATCATCTACACACACACATGTTGCTCATCACATGAGCACCTACACATAGGAATGTGTGTGAGCTGGTGCTGGCACACACTGTGCATGTGCACCTGGGCATGTACCTAAATGGCCACTTACACGCAGGTCAAGCCCTTTACTCTCCCTGCCTGCCATCCCCCAGGGACGTCAAGCCAGACAATGTCCTGCTGGATGTGAACGGGCACATTCGCCTGGCTGACTTCGGCTCCTGCCTGCGTCTCAACACCAATGGCATGGTAAGGACCCTGCTCTGAAGTGGGGGCAGGGGATACCAGGCAGGCCAAGCTCTCAGGAAAATGGGAGGCCCCAGGCCTAGTGCAGAGGCATCAGGCTCCCCAGGGAAGGTGGGTGAGGCCCAGGCCCCAGGTGGGCAGCAGTTCAGCCTGGCGGAGTAGGGGTGACAGGGCCATCGCGAGGGGCTAGCAGCCCCAGCCCCCCGGCCAAGTCCGAAGCCGTCCTCATGGCTTCACCACCACTACCACCCACAGGTGGATTCATCAGTGGCAGTAGGGACGCCGGACTATATCTCCCCTGAGATCCTGCAGGCCATGGAGGAGGGCAAGGGCCACTATGGCCCACAGTGTGACTGGTGGTCGCTTGGAGTCTGCGCCTATGAACTGCTCTTTGGGGAGACGCCCTTCTATGCTGAGTCCTTGGTGGAAACCTACGGCAAGATCATGAACCACGAGGTCTGGACGCCAGGCTCTGGGCTTCCAGAGGGGGCAGTGGGACCCCCCGAGTCTGTGTGGTTGGAAATACCTGCAGGGGAGGCTGAGTTCCTGGACACTTGACCCAGCCTGCCCCCTCCCTTGACCCACAGGACCACCTGCAGTTCCCCCCGGACATGCCTGACGTGCCAGCCAGCGCCCAAGACCTGATCCGCCAGTTGCTGTGTCGCCAGGAAGAGCGGCTGGGCCGTGGTGGGCTGGACGACTTCCGGAACCATCCTTTCTTCGAAGGCGTGGACTGGGAGCGGCTGGCAAGCAGCATAGCCCCCTATATTCCTGAGCTGCGGGGGCCCATGGACACCTCCAACTTTGACGTGGATGACGACACCCTCAACCATCCAGTGAGTGGCAAAGGCTACTGCAGGAGGGGAGCTGCCCTACCCTCTTGTTGGCTGGGGGAACCCTCCCTCTGAAGTCCCCTGGGGTGGGCTGGGGATGAGGCTTTCAGACACCAGGGCTTATGATTTATGGACTCCCAGACTGACCCATTCCAGCTGCCATCCCCTGGCCCAGCCTTTTCCAGCCAAACTGGGGTGGGGCAGCATCTCCCACAGGATCCCCATGCTCGCCTGCACTGAGGTGGGCCGTGTCAAGGCAAGGCCGTCTGACCACAGGCATCATCCTATTAACTAGAATCCATATAAGGAAGAAAACTCCCAGCAGCTCCTAGGAGACTTATGGGAGCTGGGGGTCTGTTTGGGTTGGGCCGTGTTACCCCATCGAGTTCCCACCTGAGCAGGAGGAGGTTGCACCTGGTCCCGGGGGCTCCTGTGGCCTCGGGCCTCAGGCCTCGGCCTGTGGACTCTGACTCTCCTTCCCTCTCCCTCTGCAGGGGACCCTGCCACCGCCCTCCCACGGGGCCTTCTCCGGCCACCACTTGCCATTTGTGGGCTTCACCTACACCTCGGGCAGGTGAGGCTAGTCCTCACACACCTGGTGGGAGGCTCAGGGTTGCCTGACCTAGCACACTGGGCACGTAGCCCACTGGGGCCCTGGGAAGGAGGGCAGAAGGGCTCCCCAGTGCCTGCACATGGCAGGTGCTCTAGCTCTCATCCTCGGGGTCCTGGTGAGGCCACACGCAGGTCCCGCGGGGCCCCGTGACTGCACATGGCTCTTATGGTGCCTTCCACGAAGGGCGAGGGTGCGCTGCACCTGGAGCCAGAGGTGTAGGGTTCAAAGGCCGCTACTGGTCCTGGGCCTCATTTGTGGCTCTGTAAAATGGGTGGGATGGACCAAGCACGGTGGCTCATGGCTGTAATCCCAGCACTTTGGGAGGCCGAGGCAGGTGGATCACCTGAGGTCAGGAGTTTGAGACCAGACCGGCCAACGTGGTGAAACCCCGTCTCTACTAAAAATACAAAAATTAGCTGGGTGTGGTGGTAGGCACCTGTAATCCCACTTACTTGGGAGGCTGAAGCAGGGAGAATCATTTGAACCCGGGAGGCAGAGGTTGCAGTGGGCTGAGATCGTGCCATTGCACTCCAGCCTGGGTGACAGAGCGACACTGTCTCAAAAAAAAAAAAAAAAAAAAAGGGTGGGATGATCTCCACCTACGCCTATTCGAGGGGCTGGCCCGAGACCGCAGTGAGGTCTTGGTGCAGTGTGCTCTGAGGTGGAAGGAAATGGGTCCGACCCCCACTCCTCGGGGCCAGCCGGGCCACCGTCACCACATCCTGTCCTCGACAGCCCTTGGGAGAGGCCTCGTCACCACCATCTTCCCCTGGGGAAACTGAGGCTAAAATACATTGGGTTCGAAGTGACACAGCCTGTAAGGGCCAGGACGAGGGCTTAAACCTGGGCCTGGGGACTGGGAGCCTGTGCCCTGAAGCCGCTGCCCTGGGCTGCCACCCGTGGAATCAGCCTGGGGTCTCCCAAGGGCAGGGTCTGTTCTGGCTGTTTCACAATGAATGAGTGATTCGATGCAGGAGGATGAAGGAGACTCTGTCGGGTGAGGTTTCTACCAACACGCGTGGCCCCTGTCCCCCCACAGTCACAGTCCTGAGAGCAGCTCTGAGGCCTGGGCTGCCCTGGAGCGGAAGCTCCGGTGTCTGGAGCAGGAGAAGGTGGAGCTGAGCAGGAAGCACCAAGGTACAGGGAGCGGCTGGGCCGGGCCTGGGTGTGCTGGCCCTAGGGGCTGCTGCTGCGAGAGTGGGCTCACCTGTGGGTACCACGTCCCCTCCAGAGGCCCTGCATGCCGCCACTGACCATCGGGAGCTGGAGCAGCTACGGAAGGAAGTGCAGACTCTACAGGAGAGGCTGTCAGGTATCCCTTCCACCCATCCCCACCGGGGCTGAGTCCCACCTGGGCTCAGGTCCTGCCCCTGCCCTGGACACGTTGTATGATCCTGGGGGAGCATTTTGCACTCTCTGAGCCTGTGTATGGAAAACAAGCCAAGGAGACTCGCTCCCGGGGTGAGAGGCTGGGGCCGTCAGCACTTGAGGTCTCAGTGACTCTTCCCGGCAGAGCTGCTGAGGGACAAGGCCTCCTTGTCCCAGCTGGATGGGCCCACACCTGGTAGCCCAGGTCAGGACAGTGACCTGCGGCAGGAACTTGACCAGCTTCACCAGGTGAGGGTTGGGTGAGGTGGGTGAGTGGCCCTGGGCTCCGTGGATGGTTCATGCCTGACTTTGGGCCTTGTCCTTCCCCGCTCCCTCCCCTGTCTCCTCAGGAGCTGGCCAAGGGTCGGGCAGGGCTGCAGGCTCAGGAGCAGGAGCTCTGCAAGGCCCAGGGGCAGCAGGACAAGCTGCTTCAGAGGCTGCAGGAGGCCCAGGAGAGAGAGGCGGCCACAGCTATCCAGACCCAGGCCCTGAGCTCCCAGCTGGAGGAAGCCCGGGCTGCCCAGAGGGAGGTGGGTGACCAGGGTGGGAAAGGACAGCATCTGGGCCCTGCCCCCAGTGTGGCTGGAGGGAGCATGGGGAGCTTGGTGGGAGATGCTGCCCCCTAGTTGTAGCTGGCAGAGGCTGGGCCCAGGGGACAGTGGCTGGGATGGGGCAATCTGGGAGTCCATGCCTCCTCACATCCACTGTGGCTGGCAGAGTCGGGAGTTCGTGGCAAGGTGGGCAGAGGGGCTGCCAAGGGCAGAGTTGGCACTGGCCTGCCTCTGCACCCCTCACAGCTGGAGGCCCAGGTGTCCTCCCTGACCCGGCAGGTGATGCAGCTGCAGGGACAGTGGGAGCAACGCCTTGAGGAGTCTTCCCAGGCCAAGGTAGTCAAGTCCTCCCCCCTTGGCAAGAGGCGCTTCCCCACCAGTCTGACCCCACTCAGAGCCTCAGGGCCAGGCCTGTGTCCCGGGCGGGTGGGCCATGGCATCTTGGGTCTCTGCCCTGACCCCCTCCATGTCCCCAAGACCATCCACACAGCCTCTGAGACCAACGGGATGGGACCCCCTGAGGGTGGGCCTCAGGAGGCCCAACTGAGGAAGGAGGTGGCCGCCCTGCGAGAGCAGCTGGAGCAGGCCCACAGCCACAGGTGAGCCAGGCAGCTGGTGGCAGGGAGGGGCCGGACCCGGCCTGGGCGGGGAGTCATGGCCTTGGCCTTCTCCTCCCCAGGCCGAGTGGTAAGGAGGAGGCTCTGTGCCAGCTGCAGGAGGAAAACCGGAGGCTGAGCCGGGAGCAGGAGCGGGTGAGCAGGGGGACGGACGGAGGGCACGACAGATGGACAAGGCAATGGGGAGTCAGTGAGCAGGGTGGACATGGATGGGGCTTGGGGTGCTGCGGTACCTATAGGGAGACAGCAGTCCCAGGACTGCTGGGGCCTGGGGCTGACCTTTCCTCTGGCCGGCCCCAGCTGGAAGCAGAGCTGGCCCAGGAGCAGGAGAGCAAGCAGCGGCTGGAGGGTGAGCGACGGGAGACAGAGAGCAACTGGGAGGCCCAGCTCGCCGACATCCTCAGCTGGTGGGTGCCGGGGGTGGGTCGGGGTGGGGAATGCATTAGGCGAGACTGAGGGCCCAGCCCATGACCCTGAGCCCCTTCCCAATCAGGGTGAACGATGAGAAGGTCTCAAGAGGCTACCTGCAGGCCCTGGCCACCAAGATGGCAGAGGAGCTGGAGTCGTTGAGGAACGTGGGCACCCAGACGCTCCCTGCCCGGCCACTGGTGAGCCCCAGAGATGCCCTTGGGGGCTGGCTTAGGCAAGTCACTGACCTTCCGTGAGCCTCAGGATCCCTGCTACTGAGGGTCACTACTGGAGGTGGGGACACTGAGCTCACGAGAAATAGTGGCTTCCCCTGAGCTCAGCGTGGGTCAGTGGCCGAGCTGGAGCTTTGAGCCTGGCCAGGTGGCATGGGTAGGAGGATGCTCTGGTAGGAGGGGGTCCTTGAGGCAGCCAGGCCTAGAACCCATCTTAGACGGGTGCTCCATGGCCACCAGGACCACCAGTGGAAGGCGCGGCGCTTGCAGAAAATGGAGGCCTCGGCTAGGCTGGAGCTGCAGTCGGCGCTGGAGGCTGAGATCCGTGCCAAGCAGGGCCTGCAGGAGCGGCTGACGCAGGTGCAGGAGGCCCAGCTGCAGGCTGAGCGGTGAGGCTAGGGGCAGGCGCTGGGGGCCAGGGCCCGCACAGAGGCTGGTGGTGAGCCCTTGCTGTTCTCCCCAGCCGTCTGCAGGAGGCCGAGAAGCAGAGCCAGGCCCTGCAGCAGGAGCTCACCATGTTGCGGGAGGAGCTGCGGGCCCGAGGGCCGGGGGGTGAGTGGCTGCCGACTGCTTGCCCCGGATCCAGGCTCCCCCATGGCCTCCCGCTTGCCAAGGGGTCTCCATGATGGCCTGGCAGGGTGGTGGAGACGGGAGTCTGTTCCTGGACTCTGCCACTTACTCCATCATCTGTGACCAGCACTTCTTGAGTGCCTGCTCTGCCTAGCCCTGCCCCATGCCTGTGGTCATTTCCCATTTTACTGAGGTGGGAACTGAGGCCCCTCCTGGCCCCTAGTTCCTAGGCCAGGGACCCCAGGCCGGTGACCTACCCTCTCTTTGCAGACACCAAGCCCTCAAACTCCTTGATTCCCTTCCTGTCCTTCCGGAGCTCAGAGGTAAGGACCAGGCTGAGGGGCTTGTTGGGGAGGAGTCCTGGGAGAGGCACAGGGACCTTGACTTTGCTCCTCTCTCTCCCATCCGCAGAAGGATTCTGCCAAGGACCCTGGCATCTCAGGAGAGGCCACAAGGCATGGAGGGGAGCCAGAGCTGAGGCCAGAGGGCCGACGCAGCTTGCGCATGGGGGTGAGGACAGGCGGGTCCATAGTAGGGGGGCTGGGCGCCGCCCCTGCCCATCTCACTTGCTCCCCCGCCCTCCTGCAGGCTGTGTTCCCCAGAGCGCCCACTGCCAACACAGCCTCTACAGAAGCTCTTCCTGCTAAGGTCAGTGCCCAGAGGGAAGCGGGGTGGGGGCACCAAGCAGTTCTGCTAGGCTGAATGGGCCCTGAGGGGACACTCCATGTGCATTGTAGCCAGCAGGCACAATTGGGGTGGAGGTGGTAGCAATGAGCTTGCCTGCTGCTATAGAATGGCTGGGACTCAGAGGTCACTGCCGCCTGGCTCAGCCCTTTGTCTCGCCTGACCCCTCAGGGATGGGGCATGGGGTCTTGGAAGGCCTTGGGTAATGGCTGTCCCCCTCCCCAGCCCGGCTCACACACCCTGCGCCCCCGGAGCTTCCCATCCCCGACCAAGTGTCTCCGCTGTACCTCGCTGATGCTGGGCCTGGGCCGCCAGGGCCTGGGTTGTGATGGTGAGAGTCCCCACCCCACCGCACACCCACCCACTATGCTCCAGCCACGGTCCCAGGTGTGTGGCCCTGGCACACCCAGGCTGTTTCTCCTATCCCAGGGTCACTGGCACCTGCTGGTCAAATTTCCTCCTGCTTAGCTCTGTTCCTTTTCTCACTTGATGAGGAATTGGGGACAGTTCAGGTGCCACTGTGGCTTCAGGGAAGCTGGCTCTGGACATGCCCCAGTCCTGGTTTGGGGCTGTCCCCTCCCAGCCTCACCTCATCCACCTTCTCCACTTTCCCCACAGCCTGCGGCTACTTTTGTCACACAACCTGTGCCCCACAGGCCCCACCCTGCCCCGTATCCCCTGACCTCCTCCGCACAGCCCTGGGAGTACACCCTGAAACGGGCACAGGCACTGCCTATGAGGGCTTCCTGTCGGTGAGTGGGGGCCAAGGGAGGGGAAGACGGGCATGGGGGGCTGAGGGCCCCTGCAGTCCTCCTATGCTTGCCTTTCCGCCAGGTGCCGCGGCCCTCAGGTGTCCGGCGGGGCTGGCAGCGGGTGTTTGCTGCCCTGAGTGACTCACGCCTGCTGCTGTTTGACGCCCCTGACCCGAGGCTCAGCCCGCCCAGCGGGGCCCTCCTGCAGGTCCTGGATCTGAGGTGGGTGCTGGGCAGTGGCATGGGGTAAGGGACTAGTGGTGAGGGGGGGCAGTCAGGAACAGGGAGACCTCTGACCTGTTCTGTGAACCTCCCAGGGACCCCCAGTTCTCGGCTACTCCCGTTCTGGCCTCTGATGTCATCCATGCTCAATCCAGGGACTTGCCACGCATCTTTAGGGTGAGTGCCTGGGATGAGATGGAGCAGCCGCCATCCACCTCCCCATGCTGTTCCCACTCTGGCCACTGTCCGCCCACTCCATACTGCCCTCTTGGGCCAGCCCACAACCACAACATGCTTTCCACGCAAGCATCTGGCCGGGTCTTACCTCATTTCGGATCCACTGTGGCTTCCCGTTGTCTGCGGGGTGCTCCTGACCTAGCCCTTGAGGCCCCAAGGATCTGGCCCTGCAGGCATCCCCAGCCCTCTCCCTGGCACCTCTCTGCTCTGGCCACACCTTGTTCTCTCCAGTTCTGAGGGTGCCCCGTGCCTGTGTGCACCACATTCTCGGTCCTTCACGTGTGTCTTTGCACAGAATTGCCGGCCCTGCACTGGCGCCCAGCTCCTAAACCTGACTACTCCTGGTTAGTTAGTCGTCCCTCAGGCTCCAGCAGAAACGTCTGGTCCCCTGGGAAGTCATCCTTCACCTCCTGGCCCAAGTTTGGGGCCCTCTGTGTTCCCACTAGGCCTGTCCTTGCCCCATTATGGCGCTGGTCGCAGGGCTCTGGAGTTGTCTGTAGGCCTGTCCGGCCTACTCCCTGCTGCTGATAGTGCACGCTAGGCCCCCGGGGCACAGCGGCTGCTGGAGGCAGGAAGGGAGGGAGGACAGATGGCTCTGGCCCACAGCCCTTCAGCTTGGGTCCTTGCCCACAGGTGACGACCTCCCAGCTGGCAGTGCCGCCCACTACGTGCACTGTGCTGCTGCTGGCAGAGAGCGAGGGGGAGCGGGAGCGCTGGCTGCAGGTGCTGGGTGAGCTGCAGCGGCTGCTGCTGGACGCACGGCCAAGACCCCGGCCCGTGTACACACTCAAGGAGGCCTACGACAATGGGCTGCCGCTGCTGCCCCACACGCTCTGTGCTGCCATCCTCGGTGAGCTGGTGGAGGGGACTGGAGGAAGCAGTCCAGGCCTGCAGGAGTGCTGGTGTCTAGGAACAGTCCCAAGGGCCACCGCCACTACCCATTCCCTGCAGCCACGAGACACAGACTGCCTTGCACTACATATGTGCTCCAGCCCCCTGTGTGCATGGCTGGGCCCCCAGGTAGGGGGCCTGGCTTATCCCCACTCCATTTCACTGTGCCTCAGTTTCTGCTTTTTCCAAAAGAATCTCAAGCGAGTGGAAGGAACAAAAGCTTTTTTTTTTTTCTTTTTTTTTTTTGAGACAGTCTTGCTCTGTTGCCCAGGCTGGAGTGCAGCAGTACAATCTCAGCTCACTGCAACCTCCGCCTCCCGGATGCAAGCGATTCTCCTGTCTCAGCCTCCTCAGTAGCTGGGATTACAGGCATGTGCCACCTTGCCTGGCTACTTTTTGTATTTTTAGTAGAGACGGGGTTTCACAATGTTGGCCAGGCTGGTCTCGAACTCCTGACCTCAGGTGATCCACCCGCCTTGGCCTCCCAAGGTGTTGGGATTACAGGCATGGGCCACCATGCCCAGCTGGAACAAAGGCTTTAAAAAGAGAGAAATGAGGGTTCAGTCCTGGCTGTCTCACTACAAGCTAGGGGACTGGGGGACTGCTGTAGAACACCCAGAGCCTCATAACATCTCCTGGGTGGAGCTGCCAAGAGCTTCACTTGTGCTCAGCCTTGAACCTGGGGCTCAGCAGGGCTCTTCTGTAACTGAGGCTGGGAAAGAGGCATGAAACAAAGCTCCTCGGCGTCCCCCGGCAGCCGAGGCCCTGAGCCAGCACCCGCTCTCAGGGCGGGAGCCACAGGAGAGGTTGTGTGGGTCCCTGGAGCAGTCAGGAACCAGAGGGGAGGGGGTTTTTTGAGCAAGGGGCTCTGCTGAACCCTCCCTGCTTCCTCGCTTCCTCAAAGCCACTCTGAGAAAGTACCATCGTTGTCCCCAGTTTACATAAGGCGAAACCAAGGCTCTGAGAGGTGACCTGACTTACCTGAAATCCCACAGCTCAAGGTGATGGGCCTCACCCCAACCCCTCTGAAAGAGCCTGTCCAGACTGGGAGAGAAGGGTCAGTGAGGCAGGGACAGCGGGATTATCGCCACCCCCATTTCCTCAAGAGAAACAGGCACAGCAAGGCAGGTGGACTGCACACTCTCCGTGTCATTGAGTAGGCTGCTGACCTCTGACCCTCTCCCTCCCTCTACCAGACCAGGATCGACTTGCGCTTGGCACCGAGGAGGGGCTCTTTGTCATCCATCTGCACAGCAACGGTACCCATCAAGGCTGGGCTAGGGTGGGCGTGGGCAGGGGCAGCCCTAGCAGGCCGAGGAGGATGGGGACGGGTCACTCTTCAACCACCTGCCAGTGACCCTCTCCCCTCGCCAACCCTGCAGACATCTTCCAGGTGGGGGAGTGCCGGCGCGTGCAGCAGCTGGCCTTGAGCCCCAGCGCAGGCCTGCTGGTTGTGCTGTGTGGCCGCGGCCCCAGTGTGCGTCTCTTTGCCCTGGCGGAGCTGGAGAACATAGAGGTAGCAGGTGCCAAGATCCCCGAGTCTCGAGGCTGCCAGGCACTGGCAGCTGGAAGCATCCTGCAGGCCCGCACCCCAGTGCTCTGTGTAGCCGTCAAGCGCCAGGTGCTCTGCTACCAGCTGGGCCCGGGCCCTGGGCCCTGGCAGCGCCGTATCCGTGAGCTGCAGGCACCCGCCACTGTGCAGAGCCTGGAGCTGCTGGGCGACCGGCTATGTGTGGGCGCTGCCGGTGGCTTTGCGCTCTACCCGCTGCTCAATGAGGCTGCGCCATTGGCGTTGGGGGCCGGTTTGGTGCCTGAGGAGCTGCCACCATCCCGCGGGGGCCTGGGTGAGGCACTGGGTGCCGTGGAGCTTAGTCTCAGCGAGTTCCTGCTACTCTTCACCACTGCTGGCATCTACGTGGATGGCGCAGGCCGCAAGTCTCGTGGCCATGAGCTGTTGTGGCCAGCAGCGCCCATGGGCTGGGGTAAGGCACCTTCAGTGTATGGGTGAAGACAAGGTCGCGCCTCAACTCATGAGCCTGGCATTGGAGGCCTTTGGTGCCAGTTTGCATCCTCCAGCCCAACACCACCCTGTTCTGGCCTCCGTGGCTTGCAGGGGACCTTCCTTTTCCATGCTGAGCTCATGCTCCTCTCCTGCCTGGGCCGCTCTCCTTTCGTTTGTATCCAGCAAACTTTTTTTTTTTTTTTCTTTTGAGACAGGGTCTCCCTCTGTCACCAGGCTGGAGTACGGTGGCACAATCTCGACTCACTGCCACCTCCGCCTCCTGGGGTCAAGTGATCCTCCCACCTCAACCTCCCGAGTAACTGGGGGCACAGGTGTGTGCCACCACGTCTGGCTAATTTTTGTTTTGTTTGAGACAGAGGAGTCTTACTCTGTCACCAGGCTGGAGTGCAGTGGTGTGATCTTGGCTCACTGCAGTCTCCACCTCCCAGGTTCAGGCAGTTCTCCTGCCTCAGCCTCCCTAGTAGCTGAGACTACAGGCACCCGCCACCATACCCAGCTAATTTTTGTATTTTTAGTGGAGACAGGGTCTCACCATGTTGGCCAGGCTGGTCTCGAACTCCTGACCTCGTGATCTGCCTGCCTTAGCCTCCCAAAGTGCTGGGATTACAGGCGTGAGCCACTGCGCCCAGCCTAATTTTTGTATTTTTTCGTAGAGGCAGGGTTTTGCCATATTGCCCAGGCTGGGAGTCTCAAACTCCTGGACTCAAGCAATCCCCCTGCCCGGCCTCCCAAAGTGCTGGGATTACAGGTGTGAGCCACCAACCCTGGCCTGTACCTGGCAAACTCTTAACTAGGTCCAGCCCCAGTGTCAGCTCAGGGCCTGGAGCTGGTAGGCGCTCCAAAGATGGCCGCTGCAATTGCTGTGGTCACCATTGCCTTCATGCTCCCCGCCCTGCCTCCCCATCATTGGTCCTTTCCTTCTCTTTGCCCCACTACCTCTCCATCTAGACCTTCGTCATGGCTCTCGTCACCTCCACTTCATGACTGGCTTGGTGCACTGGGGTCCCACAGAATGGGCCGGGGCTGGTTTCCTCATCCACATCAAGCACCCAGCCCAGGCTGGCACACTCCAGGGGCGACGGGTTGGGAGGAATGGGTGGAATAGTGAATGAATGAATGAATGAGGCGGTGGGGCAGTCTGGTGCATGCACAAGTAACTAGCATGATGGGTAAGGGCTGGAAGAGAGGGGCAGAGTGTCCTTGGTGAGCAATGGCTGTCTGGGGTGGGGCCTGCGGGTTGGGTGCTGCATACCACCCAAGCTGCCCAGGGCCAAATCGCAGCTCTCAGGACCAGCTGGGTGACCTGACCTTGACCACATGGCTCCAGGGGTTCCATTCCCTCCTCTGGAAATTAGGGGTTATAACAATAGTACCTGCTCGGAGTTGTTAAAAAATTAAGGGAGGAAAAGCATGTCGTGTTTAGAACTGAGCCAGGCATGTGGTGAGTGGTCCAGGGTTGTCTCTGATTTGATGTGGAGGCTGGGCGGGGCGACAGGGAGTCTTCAGAGGAAGGACCTTAGCGTGGGGTGTGGTAGTTACTGTGCTGCGGCAGGGGACAGGGTGTACCCTGTGAAACAGAGGGGGAAACAGCTCAGAGGTGCGTGGCGTGCCCGCAGGGTACGCGGCCCCCTACCTGACAGTGTTCAGCGAGAACTCCATCGATGTGTTTGACGTGAGGAGGGCAGAATGGGTGCAGACCGTGCCGCTCAAGAAGGTGAGGGTCCGCCAGAGCCCTGGGGCAGCACTGGGGTGGGGGCGTGGCCTGACCTCTGTGCCTGCTGCCTCAGGTGCGGCCCCTCAATCCAGAGGGCTCCCTGTTCCTCTACGGCACCGAGAAGGTCCGCCTGACCTACCTCAGGAACCAGCTGGCAGGTGAGGGAGTTCGTGTGTACGGGTGTGTGCGTTCACCAGTGCGCACGTGTGGCTGTGTGGCCGTGAACGCCAGCTGACTGGGCCCCAGGAACGTGTGAGCACAGCCCAGCTCTCCGCTTCTCCCACAGAGAAGGACGAGTTCGACATCCCGGACCTCACCGACAACAGCCGGCGCCAGCTGTTCCGCACCAAGAGCAAGCGCCGCTTCTTTTTCCGCGTGTCGGAGGAGCAGCAGAAGCAGCAGCGCAGGTACGCGTGCACGACGCCGGGGTTGAGGCTGGGCGGGGTGAAGGGAGGGTGGAGCTTGGCCACCAACTCCCTACGCCTTCTCCTCCCGCAGGGAGATGCTAAAGGACCCCTTTGTGCGCTCCAAGCTCATCTCACCGCCTACCAACTTCAACCACCTGGTACACGTGGGCCCTGCCAACGGGCGGCCCGGCGCCAGGGACACGTCCCGGGTTAGTCCTCTGGAGCCAATCACAAGCTACTCTGGTGAGGCTGAGCCAATCACCGGCCTCTGGTGAGCTCTAGCCAATCACAGGCCTCTGTAATTACCTGGGCCCCTGAGGCCTGGGACTTACCCTTCTGCTACCTGGGACTTAAGTACATCCAGGCTGGGGGCCCAGTGGCATTCATTTGTCCTGGTCTGTTGTGCCTTGGGCCTCTTGGCCTCCGTGTGCCTCCTGGTCCCAGCCCCTCCGCACTGTCAACCAACAGGCTCTGGAAGAGAAGGGCCGAGTTTCTCGCGGCTCCTCTGGCCCACAGCGGCCCCACAGCTTCTCCGAGGCGTTGCGGCGCCCAGCCTCCATGGGCAGCGAAGGCCTCGGTGGAGACGCAGACCCCAGTAAGGACAGTCCCTCAGCCTCCAGTGTGCTACCTCCCACCCCAAGTTTACACCCTCTTTGGATCCCTCAAATCTGATCTTGGTATTTTTGTCTCCTCATCTGCTGCTGGAGCAGTGAAGAGGAAACCTTGGACATCCCTGTCCAGCGAGTCTGTGTCCTGCCCCCAGGGATCGCTGAGCCCTGCAACCTCCCTAATGCAGGTGAGCGGGTCCGGGAGGCTTGTCCGTCCCCTATTCAAACGTCAGGCATTTCTCTTTTGTGCTAGGCCTTGCTCAGGGACCTAGGCTAGGGAACAAGCTGAGCCCATCCCTGTCCTTGATTTTCTTACCTGTCTCACCCCACCAGTGGGCACCAGCAGGATCCTGGAGGCAGGCCAGCTTAGGTGGGAATCTTGGCTTTGACTTTTCCAGCTGTGTGGCTCTGGGCAAAGTGCCCAACCTCCCTAATCTTGTCTCACCGTAAAATGATGTGGTTCCTGGGAGGCCTGGATGAGCTGATAATACCTGCGAAGGGCTCAGCATAGCACCTGGCATGGGGAAGGTGCCACAGAAGGGGAGCTCTTGGGATTCTTTTTTTTTTTTTTTTTTCAGACGGAGTCTCACTCTTTTCACCCAGGCTGGAGTGCAGTGGCACAATCTTGGTCACTGCAACCCCCACCTCCCAGGTTCGAGCGATTCTCCTACCTCAGCCTCCCAAGTAGCTGGTATTACAAGCATGCATCACCATGTCGAGCTAATTTTTGTATTTTAAGTGGAGATGGAGTTTCACCATGTTGGCCAGGCTGGTCTCAGACTCCTGACCTCAAGTGATCCACCTGCCTTGGCCTCCCAAAGTGTTGGGATTACTGGCATGAGCCACTGCGCCCGGCCACTCTTAGGATTCTTAACAGAGGCTCAGTCCACAGCAGGGAGTTGGGGGGATCAGAGGAGGGAGCAATCCATTCTGAATGAGGACAGGGGTAAACCTAAGAGAAGCTGGGGAGGTTCCCGTTCCCCCTGCAGCCACGCATCCAGCATACACATTTACCCACTGTCTCCAGCACACACATGCACCCACTCCTGTCACACCAGGCCGCTCGGAGCCCTGGGGCTCACCATGCTCTTCCATGCCTGCAGGCTCTCGCCCCTGCAGTCCCCTCTGTTTTGAATGCCTTGTCCCTATCTTCACCTTCACCAACACCAGACTGCCCTCCAGGTGACCCACCAGTACCATCTTCAAAGGAGCCTTCCTGGCCGCTTGGTCAGGTAGTCATTGCCTCCCTGGGGCTGGTGCCACCTTTGCCACCCCGCTCCCTCCACACCATCCTTGCAGCTCCTGCTGTGCCATGGGTTTCTTCTGGTGCCTGTTCTCCTCCCTTGACTGTGGGCTCCTTGGTGGTGGGGGTCAGGCTTCATTCTTCTGCCCAGAGTGAAGCATGTGTATCGACTAAAGGAAGAATGGAGTGAATGAACATTGACTGGGCACGGTGGCTCACCCCTGTAATCGCAACACTTTGGAAGGCCAAGGCGGGCGGATCACTTGAGGTCAAGAGTTCGAGACCAGCATGGCCAACGTGGTGAAACCGTGTCTCTACTAAAAATGCAGAAATTAGCTGGGCCTGGTGGCGCATGCCTGTAATCCCAGCTACTTGGGGGGCCGAGGCAGGAGAATTGCTTGAACCTGGGAGGCAGAGGTTGCAGTGAGCCGAGATCATGCCACTGCACTCCAGCCCGGGTGACAGAGCGAGACTCCGTCTCAAACAAAAAACAAACAAAAGAAAAATGAGCCAGGCATGGTGATGCACGCCTGTCATCCCAGCTACTTGGGAGGCAGCGGCAGGAGAATCACTTGAACCTGGGAGGGAGAGGTTGCAGTGAGCCAAGATCATGCCACTACTGCACTCCAGCCTAGGCGACAGAGCACAACTCTGTCTCAGAAAAGAAAAAAAAAAAGGACTTTGAATCCATTCAAGGTTAAGCAGGAGTTCTCCAGGTTCTTCCAGTGACCTTTTTACCACCTCCACTGCCCACCTCACATCTGGTTTCCTCCAGGGGCCCTGATACAGTGGGTGATGATACTAAGGGGGCCTCCAGGAGCCACTGGCCCTGTGAGGAAAGAGTCCTCCCTGAGCCTACCCCCCGACTTCCTTTTCTTTCTCCGGCAGGTCTCAGAGCGGCCCCGAAGCCTCCCCCTATCCCCTGAATTGGAGAGCTCTCCTTGATGCCCTCTGTTAGGGCCCACCCCAATCCCAGGGCAGAAAGACATGAGGGAGCGAAGAACTTGAGGAATGCCATACTCCGGCTGGTCCGGGACATGGAAATTTGGACTCAGGGAGGGCCCGGGCTGGGCAATAACTGGAAGGCTTGCCTGGTTTCCCAGGACTTGGGGGTCCTGACTCCCAGTCCTGATTCCGTGCCTTACCTCTCTGTTCCCAGCCCCAGCCTTTCTAAGCCATTGGGAATAGAATGGATCCTTTTGTCCTGGTGTCCAGGGGTGATTGTGCCAAAGCTCTTGTGTCCAGTGCCAAGCCCCCAGAGGCTTGTAAGAGTTGGGATGAGGGATGGAGAGGGACTGGGTCTCTGGGAACAGGTTGGGGGTCTTATCTGTGGACTGTCTGACTCCCAGCTGAGGCCAAGATGGGGCATGTCCCGGTCTCTGCTCAGCATCTGGGTGAGAAAAACAGACTGTGATCCAGAGGAAGGAAGATAGAGAAGGAGAGAAAGGATGTAGGCAAAGGAGGTGAGAGACAGGATAGGAGGAAGGAAGTGGAGGAGGAGGTGATAGGAATTGGAAGGAGGTAGAAGCCGTGTAGAGGAAGAGGGGAGAGGGACGGAGGAGAAGCGATGAAGAGGAGGAAGACAAAAAGAGGTGGAAGAGAGAGGGAGTCTGGAGAACAAAGGGTCCTTTCTCTGGGGAGGGGTGCGGTGGGTGGGGCTGACGCTGTCAGCCAGTCCTCCCATCGGGGAAGAGAATCCTGGACAGGGATGGGATGGGGAGGGTATTTATAAGGGCTTTTTGGTGGGAGATGGGTACCCAGTGGTGGCCACTGGAGGGTCTCCCGGCACACTCTGGCCCTTCCCAGAAATGGGGGCCCTTTTTCTCGAAGCTTCAACCAGTTGTGTATTAGGGGAACCTAGGGGGCATTTTACTATTGATCACAGTCATTATATTGTTATTATATTACTATTTTTATTAAACCTCCCCCGACTGAAGTGTGGGGGGCAAAATAAGTATTTATCTCCTCAAATGCCACATTCCCAGGAGGGACAGACCCTGATGCTCTGTGAGGCAGCAAGAAACCAATAAAGACAGCTTTGTAAGCTGCTGGCCTCCTTGCCTGGATCTGTCATCTTGGGGTTCAGAAGGTGGGGGATTAGGAATGGAGGGAACAGTGAAGGCGTCACAGACAGTTACAGACCAGATTGTCTTCCCTGCATTTTCACAAATCAATTCAAATGGGGTAGATGAAGCGACTTTACTAATGAAGGGACAGTTTACAGAAGCGTGCACAGTACTAAGGGAACACACCAATGAATGGCAGTGCCCCAGGACCTGGACAGCAGAGAGGAGCTGTTAGGAACCCCAGACCACCCAGGCAGGAAGAGGCAGTGGCGCTACTCGACAGGAGCTCTGGCTTTTGGTAGAACTTGACCATGGCTGAGCTGAAAGGCAGCCTAGGAAATAAATTCCTCCACTTCACTCCCTCCCGTCTCCTGCCTCCCTTTGTCCAAATTCAAGCAGCAGCCAGAGACCCCAAGAATTTAGTGAACTGGCTGGGCGCGGTGGCTCGAGCCTGTAATCCCAGCACTTTGGGAGGCCAAAGTGGGTGGACTGCGCCATCACACTCCACCCTGAGCAACAGAGCAAGACCCAGTCTCAAAAAAAGAAGAAAAAAAAAAATCCTGGCTCGGTGGCTCACACCTGTAATCTCAGCACTTTGGGAGGCCGAGGCAGGCGGATCACCTGAGGTCGGGAGTTTGAGACTAGCCTGGCCAAGATGGTGAAACCCCATCTCTACTAAAAATACAAAAATTAGCCGGGCATCATGGCGGGCACCTGTAATCCCAGCTACTTGGAAGGCTGAGGCAGGAGAATCACTTGAACCTGGGAGGCGGAGGTTGCGGTGAGCCAAGATCGCGCCATTGCACTGCAGCCTGGGCAACAAGAGTGAAACGCCATCTCAAAAAAAAAGAGAACTCAGTAACTGTAGGTTGTAGTGGCCAGTCTTGGCACAGAGCAGGGTGGAGAAGAGGGAAGTGGATCCGAAGGGCACACCATGGGTATCCAGTGCCCTGCTGCCCACCCAGGTGAGGCTGATGAAAAGGGAGCAGGGGAAGGTCTGAGAGGGGTTTCACTTATTCTTAGCTGGGGGGTCCAACACTTAGCAGGACCCAGGCCTCAAGGCTGGGCTGAATGGGGAAGGAGGGGAAGGAGTGTGCTCTAGAGTCAGGGCAGGCCTGGGGCAGTTGATGGCTATGCTCTGAGGCGTATCGCAGGCCCTAAAGCTAGGGGAAAGTACTGAAAAGAGACTGGGGGCCACTAAGTGGTTGGGAATGGGGATTGGAGGGTGTCTGGAATTTTAGGGCCTGGTTAGGGGCCCAGGCATGAGAATCAGGCAGCCTGGATTCTGGTCTAGTTATGCAGCCACGGGCAAGTTACCTGGCCTCAGTTTCCACATCTGTAAATGGGAATCATTAAACTTATCCCAGCGCCGGCACGGTGGCTCACACCTGTAGTCCCAGCACTTTGGGAGGCCGAGGTGGGCGGATGAGTTCAAGACTAGCCTGACCAACGTGGTGAAACCCTGTCTCTACTAAAAATACAAAAATTAGCCGGGTGTGGTGGCATGCCTGTAATCCCAGCTACTCAGGAGGCTGAGGCAGGAGAATGGCTTAAACCCAGGAGGCAGAGGTTGCGGTGAGCCCAGAGCACGCGACTGCACTCCGGCCTGGGTGACAGAGCAAGACCCTGTCTCAAAATAAAATAAAATAAAACTTATCACAGGCTGGGTGAGGTGGCTCACACCTATAATCTTAGCACTTTGGGAGGCTGAGGTGGGAAGATCTCTTGAGGCCAGGAGTTAGAAGCTGCAGTGAGCTATGTTTGCACCACTGCACTCCAGCCTGGGCAACAGAGAAAGACCCTGCAAAAAACAAAAAAAAGAAAAAAAAACTATCTCATGGGAGGTTCTGGTGAGACTGGTGAGATCGTGCTGGAAAATGCCTTCGGCCCACTCAGGAAATATTTCTTCGGCCTACTGAGGTGCAGAGACTCAGAGTCCTGTGCAGAGATACTCAGGCCTATGGCAAGCTGAGACCTGGAGCCGTCCCTCACTAAACTGGAGAAACGGCTGCTTCCCAGCGCCCAGCAATAATTCAGCCAAAAGACTTTCAGATTTACAAATTTTTACACTTCTAAAAAATTAATTTTCTCCCAATATTTTATGTTAACAAATTTCAAACCTGCAGCAAGATGGAAAGAATACGAACTCTGGCCAAGCACTGTGGCTCACGCCTGTAATCCCAGCACTTTGGGAGGCTGAGGCAGGCAGATCACCTGAGGTTGGGAGTTCAACATTGGTCTGGCCAACATTGTGAAACCTCGTCTTTGCTAAAAATACAAAAATTAGCTGAGCATAGTGGTGCGCACCTGGAATCCCAGCTACTCAGGAAGCTGAGGCAGGATAATCACTTGAACCAGAGAGGTGGAGCTTGCAGTGAGCTGAGATCATGCCACTGCACTCCAGCCTGGGTGACAGAGTGATACTCCGTCTCAAAAAATAAAAAAAGTCTGGGCGTGGTGGCTCACGTCTATAACCCTAGCACTTTGGGAGGCCGAGATGGGTGGATCACCTGAGGTCAGGAGTTCAAAACTAGCCTGGCCAGCATGGTGAAACCCTGTCTCTACTAAAAATACAAAAAAAAAAAAAAAAAATTAGCTAGCCGTGGTGGTGGGTGCCTGTAGTCCCAGCTACTTGGGAGGCTAAGACGGGGGAATCACTTGAACCTGGGAGGCAGAGGTTTCAGTGAGCTGAAATCTCACTACTGCACTCCAGCCTGGGCAACACAGTGAGACTCCATATACTCTTCCCGTAGATCCACCAATAAACATTTTGCTGCTGCTACTTTCTATCTGTGTAGCATATATTTTGTTAAACCATTGAAAGTAAGTTGCAGACATCTTGAACTTCACATCTAAATATTTCAGAAATTATGTCTTAAGAATAAGAAGCCAGGCCTGGCCGGGTGCGGTGGCTCAAGCCTATAATCCCAGCACTTTGGGAGGCCAAGACGGGCAGATCACGAGGTCAGGAGATCGAGACCATCCTGGCTAACATGGTGAAACCCTGTCTCTACTAAAAAATGCCAAAAAAAAAACTAGCTGGGCGAGGTGGTGGGCGCCTGTAGTCCCAGCTACTCGGGAGGCTGAGGCAGGAGAATGGCGTAAACCCGGGAGGCGGAGCTTGCAGTGAGCTGAGATCCGGCCACTGCACTCCAGCCTGGGCAGCAGAGCGAGACTCCGTCTCAAAAAAAAAAAAAAAAAAAAGGAGCCAGGCCTGGTACAATCACTCACACCTGTAATCCCAACACTTTGAGAGGCTGAGGTGGGAGGATTGCTTGAGCCCAGAGTTCAAGACCAGCCTAGGCAATATAGCGAGACCCTGTCTCTACAAAAAATAAAAAATTGGCCACAACAGTTATGTTGTTTAAGTCACCTACTTTGTGGTACAGTTGTGTCAAAAATGTTACTTGGCGGCCGGGCGCGGTGGCTCAAGTCTGTAATCCCAGGACTTTGGGAGGCTGAGACGGGCAGATCACAAGGTTAGGAGATCGAGACCATCCTGGCTAACACGGTGAAACCCCATCTCTACTAAAAAACATACAAAAAACTAGCCGGGTGAGGTGGTGGGCGCCTGTAGTCCCAGCTACTCGGGAGGCTGAGGCAGGAGAATGGCGTAAACCCGGGAGGCGGAGCTTGTAGTGAGCTGGGACCCGGCCACTGCACTCCAGCCTGGGCGAGAAAGCGAGACTCCGTCTCAAAAAAAAAAAGTTATTTGGGAGGCCGAGGTGGGAGGATCACTTAAGGCCAGGAATTTGAGACCAGCCTCCACAACATGGCACAACCCTGTTGCCTAACATGGCCCTGTCACCCAGGCTGGAGTGCAGTGGCACAATCATAGTTCATTGTAGTCTTGAATTACTGGGCTCAAGTGATCCTCCTGCCTCAGCCTCTCAACTAACTGGGATTACAGGCCCATGCCTGGCAAAGTTTTTTTTTTTTTTTTTTTTTTTTTTTTTTTTGTAGAGACAGGGTCTTATTATGTTGCCCAGGTTGGTCTTGAACTCCTGACCTCAAGTGACTCTCTGGCCTCGGCCTCCCAAAAGTGCCAGGACTACAGGGGTGGCCCACCGCATCTGAACTAGATTAAACTTTTTATTTATTTATTTTTCCATTGCCCCCTAGATTAAACTTTTTAAGTCAAGAATATTATCTAGCTGGGTGCGGTGGCTCACATCTGTAATCCCAGCACTTTGGGAGGCTGAGGTGGGCAGATCATGAGGTCAGGAGATTGAGACCATCCTGGCCAACATGGTGAAACCCAATCTCTACTAAAAATACAAAAATTAGCTGGGCATGGTGGCACACGCCTGTAGTCCCACCTACTCCAGAGGCTGAGGCAGAAGAATGGCTTGAACCCGGGACGCGGAGCTTGCAGTGAGCCGAGATCGTGCCATTTCACTCCAGCCTGGGCGACAAAGTGAGACTCCATCTCAAAAAAAGAAAAAAAAAAAAAAACAGGCCGGGCGCGGTGGCTCAAGCCTGTAATCCCAGCACTTTGGGAGGCCGAGACGGGCGGATCACGAGGTCGGGAGATCGAGACCATCCTGGCTAACACGGTGAAACCCCGTCTCTACTAAAAAGTACAAAAAACTAGCCGGGCGAGGTGGCGGGCGCCTGTAGTCCCAGCTACTCGGGAGGCTGAGGCAGGAGAATGGCGTGAACCCGGGAGGCGGAGCTTGCAGTGAGCTGAGATCCGGCCACTGCACTCCAGCCTGGGCGACAGAGTGAGACTCCGTCTCAAAAAAAAAGAAAAAAAAAAAAAAAAAGCAGCATATACCTAGCTGGTGCTATTTTAAATTAATTTTAATTACAACAATACACAAAATTTTTTGGAAAAGAAATTAGGGGCTGAATTCCCCTTTGACTCCCTCCCCTCAGCCCATGAGATTACTTTCTGTTAGTTTGTTCCACACATACACGTATTGGCGATGTCCAGAGGGACCGCCCTCCCAGGGCCTCCTTGTCTTTAGCAGCGGAAATCCCGTT